GTCCTGTACTGCATCCGGGGCACTATAGGCCCAGCAGCAAGGAGAGGTGAAATACAACCCGAATACCAGCAGCTGTGGGACTCCCAGTCACCCCCAGTCCTCCACAGGGATTCCAGCCCCCCCTCAGCTCAGTGTGGGATAGCCTGCCTGCTTTCCTCCCCCACCCCTTCCTTTTCCTTTCCCTCTTTCTTCGGGGTGGGTGGGTGGATAAGACCCAATCTTCTGAAGCCCAGGCTAGCCTCCAATTCAATATATAGCCAAGAAGGAACCCATCATCTCCTGTCTCTCTCTCTCAGGTGCTTGGATTACAAGATGGGCCATCATGCCTGACTCTGAGGGACTGCTTTTAATCCATCAGGGCCTCCCTGGCTTCCTTGAGAGATTCTACACGTTGTGATCTTAAGAAAATGTATTACCTGCAGCACGTGGACTGTATACCCAAAACTGGTCACCAGATTTCCACCCTAGATTCTTTTTGTTGTTTTTCTTTTGAGACAAGGTTTCTTTGTGTAGCCCTGGCTGTCCTGGCACAAGTTCTGTAGAGCAGGTTGGCCACAAACTCAGAGATCTGCTTGTCTCTGCCTCCCCAGTGTTATCATCCAAGCAAACCTGGCCCTATTCCTTGGGACCTGGCAGAATCACCGGGTCTCTCTAAGAAGGTGCAAAGGGTCTCTTTAAGAGTCAAGTTCCAGGCCAGGCCGGGAGTTGGTGGCACATGCCCTTAATTCTAGCACTCTGGAGGCAGAGGCAGGTGGATCTCTGTGATTCAAGTCCAGTCTGGTCTACAGAGCTGGTTACAGAGCAACACAGAGAAACCCTGTCTCAAAAAGAAAAGGATAAGTTCCACTTTCTCTTTCTTTCTGCCATTCTCTTGGAGAGGCAGGCCGGCCTTTGTCTCTCTCTTCCTTTCCTTTTCTCTCTCTTTCTCTCCTCCCTCTCTCTCCCCTCCTTCCCCTAATAAAACTTCCTTTCCATGTAAGTTCTGCCTGATGAAGTGTTTGGCCCCTGCCATGGGATCTGTGGTCCCACCTTGAGCAGCATATCATAACACCCAGTGCTGGGATTAAAGTTGTGCTCCAACAGTGCTCTTAATTGCGGGACCATCTCAAGCCCGAGTAGGATAAATCTTTCTGATCCAAGCGTGGAGGTGCATAGGCCTTTAAGCCCAGCACTCCGGAGGCAGAGGCAGTCTTGAGGCCAGCCTGGTCTACAAAGTGAATTCCAGGACAGCTGTTACACAGAGAAACCCCATCTCAAAAAAAAAAAAAAAAAAAAAAAAAAAAAAAAAAACAAAGCAAAACAAGACAGTCCTTTCTGGGGGAATGCAGGCTCCTCATAGGTAGGGACACTGAGTCAGGGAGGAGTCATCTGTCCCATCCTCATACCCCTCCCCACCACCAGACAGGGCTTCTCTGTGTAGCTTCATACCCTGTCCTGGAACTCACTCAGCAAACCAGGCTGATTTTGAACTCACAGAGATCTGCTGAGGCAGGAAGGAGTTTTTTTGTTTTTTTTTGTTTTTTTTTTTTTTAAACTTTTGCTTAGACAGAGATGAGGGAGAGAGCTTAAAGACAGGAAAACCAGCACCAACCAGACCTCACTGGGACACAGACAGGCAAGCCCGCTCTAGTGCTCCTGAAGTGAAATAGAAAAAATACTGGGGACAACCGGGGCATTGGTGGCGCACACCTTTAATCCCAGCACTCAGGAGGCAGGCGTATCTCTGTGAGTTCCAGACCAGCCTGGTCTACAAGAGTTAGTTCCAGGACAGGCTCCAAAGCCACACACAGAGAAACCCTGTCTGGAAAAAAACCAAAAATAAAATAAAATAAATAAATAAAAAATAAAAGAATGCTGGGGAAGCAAGTTCTTCCAGCGTGTGGTTTCGGAACAATTAGCTGATGTCTAGTGGAGAGGTCTGTGGCTCCGAGGGCTGGGCCATCAAGCAGGGAGGAAGAGTCTGGCCTCAGACCCATTTGTAAGTGCCAGGAGCCTGGAGGGGAACATTCTAGACAAGTTGTATTTGGAGGGTGGGCTTCACTCTTGTTTTACTAAAGAGGAAAGTAAGGGGGTCAAGAGGGTGGCAGGTGGCATTTCTAAGACTCTGAGATTGAGGCCCCCCCCCCCCCCCCCCCCCGCAGCTCAAAGATGGCCAAATGAACAAAGACCAAAGACAGCATCAGCCTGCCTTTCAAGCAGGAGCAAGCAGCTAGAGTGAAGGAAGGGAGGACAGGACGGCTCTGTGCTCCTGCCAACCCTGCAACTCCAGGAGTGCTTGCAGGGGCTGGTGGGCAGTCCCTGCACTGGGCCATCTCTGGTGCTATGACATTCTTGTGACAATAGAGTCCACAGTGGATTAAATCAGGGTGAGACACATTAGGGAACACAGACGTTCCTATGGTGGAGTCAGAGCTGCTGCGGAGCTACACAACTTTAACACATTTGCAGCAGCCCACAGCCAGGACTGGCTCAAGTGCAGGGCCCAGACTCTTTCTCCTAAGACCTACGCAGCATGCAGTAGGTGTCTTAGAGAACCAGAGGAGGGAATCATCTGCCCAGAGGGACTTGCTTTGTCCTTTGAAGGCAGATCTTGTTCCAGAAGAGTGCCTGGACAAAGAGCTCTCAGACATTGGCCTCATTTCTACGGCCAGCTGCCCCACAAGGCTGGCAGAGGGCACGGCTCAGCCACTGTGGGACAGCCCCCTTTTTAAAAATGATTCCCAGTAGGTGATTAGGCACCAGACACCCCAGCCTGGTGGGGGTGGGAGTGTGTGGGGGGCAGCTAAGAGTGGCCACTTTGCTTTGAGACAGAATCTTGTGTAGTCCAGGGTGGTCTTGAGATGACCTTGAGTTAATCATCCTCTTGCCTTTACCTCCCAAGTGTCAGAATTACAGACGTGAGCCACCAAGCTGGGGGAAACAGTCACGGTTCTGGAGGCTGTAGGGAAAAGAGAGAATGGAAATCTGGAAATCAAGATGGTTTGCAAGCACTCTTAGACCATTTCCTTTCCTTGCCTCCTGCCTCCTGGCGCCCCCCCCCCCTTCCCTTAGCTGGCTTTTCACATATGCCAGTGAGCCATCTCAGCACAGTTAGGCATCCGTCTCCGGGTTAATGAAAAGCAGGCAGAGGCCAGGGCGACTCATTCTGTTCACTTAGGTCTAACCAGTATGTTTACCTTTCTAGCTAGCGTGGGCACCAACTGCCTGCGCCATTCAGGCCTTGACACCTGAGCACTAGATCCCCAACCCTGGAGTGGGAGGCGGACAGAGTGGGAGAAGGTACCCCCACAGCAGCCATCCACTGAAATAGTACTGAATGAAATAGTTCAGGCTTTTGCCACGTTCCCCACTCCGGACGGAATGGGCAAGGCACGGGAAAGGATTCCGGGTTCTACAAATCCTGCTCCCTCCACTTCCCAGCCCCCACCCCCGCTAAGCAAACATTCCTCCCAGAGTCAGAAAAGAGCAAAGCTGTGTGCGAGGGGAGGAACCGGCCTGAGGTTTATCGCTCTGGCAACTCCGGTGATTCATTGAGTTGAGACTCCAGGTTGTCATAGATAGAGGCATGCAAACACACACCAGCCGGGGAGGTACGGGTCACCAGCTCTCTGCCCTCCTCCACCTGGCTGGCTATCCCCTCGCCTGTGACCAGCTGCCTCCCCTCCCCCTCGAGGGCGCCCAGGGTTGAGCAAACACGCCTTGCCGCCTGCCCTGCCACCGGCAGGCTCTGACCGCGCTCTTGGCGATCCCCCAGGCAACTCGGCATCACGAGAACCCGCACCCTGAGACCCGACGTCCTGCCTTCTCCCGCGTCCCCAGGGCCCCTGTCAGGCCCAACAACCTCTTGCTCTTGCGACTTGTCCCCTCCGGGGATACACTGCAACCCTACACGACCCACTCAGTGCTACAAGGACAGCGCAGCCCACTCCCGAGGGATCCCAAGTCCTCAGGGAAAGTGGCTGGAAAAAAAAATCTCTTGTTTACTGGGCCAGAATGGCCTCAGCTGGGATTCGCTTCCCTATTTCTGCGGTTTCTTTTCAGCAGATTCCTGAGGCTGGAGAAGAAAGGGTGGCAACCGGTGGATCCACAGGGGCAGGGAGTGGGGGGTGGGGCTCAAGGGAATCCGAATTGGTGGAAAGGTCCCCTGACTTCGGGAGTGGCCGGACTCGGAGTCAGGAACAACGTGGCCGGGAGCGCAGGGACCACAGGGATCCTGTTAAATACTGTACCTCGGGGAACAAAACTGAGAAGACTAATTAGGACAGGTCACCACAGGGAACCGGGACGCGGGGAGGGGAGCCCGCGATGTGAGAAACTCGGGCGCGGGGTAGTCAGGCCGACGACGACGGCCAATAACCTATAGGGGTTCTGGACTCAGTCTACAGAGTTGGGGGCGTTCGCCGTGGCGTTCCCTCGTTATCTTGGAGACTGGGTTTGCCGGGAAGGACCACGCACGAAAAGAGCGAGGACGCTCAGTGAGTGCTGTGTCCACGTGTGCAAGCTCTCAAGGGGAGGGGGCGCGCGGGAGGCGTGACCAAGAGGGACTTTACGTCTGAGTGTGCGCCTCGCTCCAGTGGGAAGCAGCGAACTGTGCCAGGAATGTGTCTCGTGGGAAAGCCAGGACGAAAGTGACAAAGGCTGGGTGTCTGTCACGGGGAAACGCGCCAAGGTAGCCACCGCGCGTCTGTGGGTGCGTGCGATCGCTGGGAGATGCAACCAAGGAGTGTGCTGGGCTGCACTCCGAACCGCTTTCGGGAGAGAAAGGCGAGTCCAGAAAGTGAGTACGCGCAAGTGCGCGCGCGCCCGCGTGCGGGGGCGTGGCAGTAAACAGCAACAACCCACACTCCAGCTTGGCCAGAAACTCGGGTCTCCCTCCCAGGTCGAAAGTGCTCAGCGGCCGAGCCTGGAGGTGAGTCCGAGGGGGCAGGGCTGAGTGCGCTTTGTTAGTAGGGTTGTGGATCGCTACTACCTGGAGCGCTGCTGGCGCCAGAGGATCGCCAGGAATGGAGGTGATGTCACGGTGATGCAGCCCGGCCCACTCTGGCCGAGAGAGGGGGGCACTGCGCCGGGGGAAGCGGGCGAGAGAGCGAGCCACAGAGTGCATCAAGCTCAGTCTGGGGTCCCGGGGAGGAAGGCCCTGCACTTCTGCCCAGGCCTGGTCACCCCCACCGGAGCGGGCTCTGGCCCCGCGCCTTCCTTTGAGTCCTTCCTACGCCCGCAGGCGCTCTGCCTGGAGCCGAAGTTGGCTCTCGGCGCTGCGCCGAAGCGGGCTGGCTGCGAGTCCCAGGTAAGGGCTGTTGCCTCGGCGCTCCGCCCTCGCCATCGGCAGGCCGGAAGATCTGAGTCCAGCTGGCTGGGAGAGGGCTGAGGCCCGGGGTGGGCGAACAGGCACCCACTCCACAAGTTCACGGAAAGTTTCCAAACCCAAGCCCGCTGGGGACTTAATGGGTCAGGGAAGCAGGGTGCTGCATGGACGGCCAGGAAAGGATTCCACAATCCTAGTGTCCGAGAAGTGTCTCCTGTACTCATTCACGCGCTGGGAGGCCACGGTCGACTGTGACTGTAGGTTGGCGTCCTTTCCCTCGTTTCGTTGCGGTGCGTGGGGAGGGCAGGTTTCTGTGACCAGAGCGGATGGAAGGAACGGAGCCTGGCTCCTTGCTTTTTCGGTTCAGACTTCCAGGGGTGCGCGAGCAGAGACCTAGTAGTCCGATTGGAATGGAGAGGCTAGGGCTCCGGATCTCTCCGCGGGAAGTTTGGAATTTCAGAGGCCTACGGCGGCGCCTCTACTTGCGGAGGCCTAGGTTCTGGGTCCCACCCCTTGCTCGCCCCTGGTTTTTCCAGAGCGCTTTCCGCTTCCACCTCACGCCCACACTTTTACACGTACAGTTATAAATCACTTACGACTTCAAGATCTTGATCCTGAAGTACAGACAAGAGAACTTATGGAAGCATTGTGCGCCTGCAGACCCCCCCTCCCCCCAACAGTGTCTGTTATGTGGCCGGGAGGGAGTGCTGTTAGGGATGGGGGCGGGCACATTCCAAAGTGGAGCAGACCCCTGATTGCTTAGGAGGCTTCTAAAACTCCGCATGCTGGAGTATTTTGGTTCAGTTACCCACTCTTGGTTATGAAAGGGGAACGGAGGATAGTAAACGGGTTGTGAGTCCTTCATGCGTTAGCATCTCCCCAGGTTCGTTCTTAGCAAATTCGTTGACCAGCGCACTGGTCAGAGGGCTGAAACAATGGGACTTGTCCTGAGACTGAAAAAAGGAGGAAGTGGTGGATGAGAGGCTAGAGGAAGGCTGGCTACGTGTCCACCCATCTTTCCAGCTCATCTGCTGAGGGGATGTAGCCAGGGAAAAAGAAGGATGCTCTGTGGTGTCCCTGGCTGAGCCATTGCTCCAGCCAATGGGGCTGTAGGTGGTCCTGGCCTTTGGCTTGTGTCCTGCTCTGTAGCTTTGAACCTACCAGGCAGCCTTCTTTCCCATCGGTGTGTGTGTGTGTGTGTGTGTGTGTGTGTGTGTGTGTGTGTGTGGTGTGGGTATGTGTGTGTGAGTGTGTGTGGTGTGGGTATGTGTGTGTGTGTACCCATGCCTTTGTGTGAACCCATGCCTTTGTGTGAGAGGGTATGTGTGTGAGTATATGTGTGAGTGTGTGAATGTGTGTGTGTGTGTGTGTGTGTGTGTGTGTGCGCTGATCTGATGGAGACCAAGGGGATGTCCCTCTGGAAAGGTGAAAAGGTGAAGGTCTGCTTGCCTTACCTGTAACTGCTCAAAACCAGTCAGGGCTGGCGTAGTCTCAGCCCACCAGCCTTGCCAAGGCTTCTTGGCTTCACCCAAAGACAGAAAGAAGGAGAAAGGGGATTTGGGAACTTGATTGCACTACCTCGGACCAGAGTTGGGGGCTGGGTAGCTGACCCTGGGAAAAGCTAATTTCTGAGGTGATTAAAAATATTTGTATGATGCCTGAGAGGCAGTGGTGCACGCCTTTAATCCCAGCACTCAGGAGGCAGAGGCAGGCCGATCAATGTGTCTGGTCTACAAAGGGAGTTCTAGGACAGCTTTAGCTAAACGGAGAAACCCTGTCTTGAAAAATGGAAAAAGAAACTGGGCCTTGGTGGCACACACCTTTAATCCCAGCACCTGGGAGGCAGAGGCAGGTGGATCTCTGTGAGTTTGAGGTCAGCCTGGTCTACAGAGCTAGTTCCAGGGCAGGCTCCAAAGCGATACAGAGAAACCCTGTCTCCAAAAACTAAACAAGAAAAAGAAAATTGTATGACTGACTGATTCCAGGGAAATGAAGTTAAAAGCCTTTTTTGTTTTGTTTTGGGGGTGGTACAGAAAATAATCTGAATTAGAGCCTTGGCTGTGGGCTGATAAAGCTTCTAGGGCAGTAGGGCCCTGTCCCTCTCCTGGGAGAGATGGATACTGTGTCCTTAGTGGATGGCATACACGTGGTTATTGTGTTCAGGGTGCAGAGTCCTTCACAACTCCTGAAGACTCAGAGCAGTGGTTCTCAAACCCGGCGGCCAAAAGACCCTTTCACAGGGGTCACCTAAGATCAGACAACAAACATTTACATTATGATCCACAACAGTAGTAAAATTTCAGTTTGTAAAATAGCAATGAAAATAATTTTATGGTTGGGAGGTCACCACAACACAGGGAACTGTGTTAAAGGGTCACAGCATTAGGAAGGTTGAGAACCGCTGCCTTAGAGCTTGGTAGGGGAGGCAGGGTATGTGATTTGAAAGTTCAGTCTGAGTGCAGGGTGTGTGTGTGTGTGTGTGTGTGTGTGTGTGTGTTTGTGTGGTGGGTACATGTAGTGCTATTTAAGTTCCTGTAGGTGGAGCTGGCCTCTCCTGCCTACCCTTTATCCACCATCTTAAAAAGCAGTAGGTGGCTGCAGAATCTGCTCGGTGGCTAAGAGCGCTGGCCGCTCTTGCAGAGGACCTGGGTTCAGTTTACAGCACCCACATCCTAGTTGAAAACCATCTATAGCTTCAGTTCCAGGGGTTCTGATGCCTTTTACTGACCTTCGGGCAGCAGGCACACATGTGGTGCGCATATAGACAAAAATGCAGACAAAACATTGATACTTGTAAAAAATCAAAATGAATGTGTCCTCCTGGACTGTAGGATTGAACTGTGCCCTAATGTGCTTCCTTCTCTTCAACTATGTTTCCTTTTTTGTTTGTTTTTTGAGACAGGGTCTCACTGTGTACTTCTGTCCATCTTGGACCACACTACATAGATCAGGCTGCCCTTGAACTCAGAGATCTGCTGCCTCTGCCTCCAAAATGCAAGGGCCTCTGTCCTACACAGGGGAGAGAGTCCAGCCCAACTGTCCTAATTTTCCCACCTGACTATGTTTCCATGGCCCTAGCTGCCCTTCTTTCTATTTTCTGGAAAAGCAGAAAAAATGAGGGGTATTTTAGGGTGGAAATGGTACATTTCAGGGAAGCCCAGTTTTCCACACTGGAGGTTGAGTATCAGAGGTGAGATTTGAAGGATCAGGTCGAGGCGGAAGCTGGTTGTTCCTTAGCAAAGGCAAGAGGAAATAAATAGCACAGGATTGTAGCCATTCCCAAATCCTGGCCCCAGTGTCTGTGAGGTGCTGGGGACTAGCCCAGCAGAGGCACATGTTTCCTCTCCATTTTCTTCCCTGGGGAAGGAAGCCAGGACCTTGTCCTGGGACATGCCCATACTGACCTACATCCCCAGCCTCGGGATGACCTGGCTGTTATCAGATGTAAACCTGCAATGTGGCCTGTGGTACCCTTTCCTCCTAGATCTCCCTTGTCCTTAGCTCTGTGTGTGTGTGGGGGAGGGGTTGTAGCATTAGGGGAGGAGGTTGTGGGGGTGGGGGTTGCAGTGGGGGGTGTGTGGCCATTATGGTGCTACCTTTGGCCTTGCTCCTTAGACTGGATGAACGTGGCTTCAGTAAATTGGTTGCATTGTGCTTTTGTGAGACCATGACCCTGGCGATGCCCCCCCAGCATGTTCAGTGCAGCGTGCAGCTTCAGTGCAGCTTGCAGCAGCCGCTCATTGCCTCCAAGCCCCTCAACTCCATGCTTGTGGCCAGCCCCGCCTCCTGTGCACGTGCTCACCCCTCCCTTGAACTTAGTGTTCTTTCTCTTGCTGTGAGTTTGGGGGCTGAACGCGGGTGACAGCTGTCATCTTTTTTTCTCTTTCTTCGACCTTCACTTTTTCAACACCTACCTCACACACCCTGTTCAAGGCTTTACCTCCTTTTAGGCTGTGTCTTGTGGCAATGTCTGGTGGGATGTAGTACAGTTTTTATTCATTTACTGCTATCAGCATTCTTTTAAAAAAAATACTAACTTTATATGTTTGGGTGGTTTTCATGTGCACCGTGTATGTGCCAGGGAGACCAGAAGAAGGTGTCATATCCCCTGGGACTAGCGTTTCAGACAGTTGTGAGCTACCCATGTGAATGCTAGGAACCAAACTTGTGTGTGTCCTTTGGAAGAGCAGTCAGTGTTCTTAACCACTGAGACATCTCTCCAGGCCCCACTATTAGCATTCTTGGTTTTGCTGAACATTGAGTAAAAAGCTTTGCGTGGTGTGTTTTCCGATTGATTGATTGTTCATGTGTGTGCACATGTGTGTGTGAATGCATTTGGAGGTTAAGGTTTACATCAGGAGTCTTCCTCAATTGCTCTTCATCTAATTTTATTATTATTATTACATTTATTTGTTCACCTTTTAGGGTTTTTGTTGTTGTTGTTGTTTAATCCCCTCACCCCCCACCCTCCACCCCCAGACAGGGTTTCTCTGAGTGGCCACGACTGTCCTGGAACTTGATGTGTAGATAGTCTGGTCCTGAACTCACAGAGATCCCCCTGGCTCTGCCTCCTGAAAGCTGGGATCAAAGGCGTGGGCCCCCACTACCTGACACTTGTAGTTTTTATGTGTGAGAATGCACACATGAAGGTCAGAGGACAACTTGCAGGAGACAGTTCCAGGTCCTGGGGGTTAGACAAAGGTTGTCAGGCTAGGCAGCAAGCGCCTATACCACTGAACCATCTTGCTGAGCCATTATTTTACTTTTGAATATCTTTACCCAGGCATAATAGTCATACACACCTTCAATCCCAGCACTCGGGAGGCAGAGGAAGGCGGATCTCTGTGAGTTCAAGGCCAGCCTGGTCTATACAGTGAGTTTCAGGACAGCCAGAGCTCCGCAGTGTGATCTGGGCTCTAAAATAGAAATATACATATGTATCTTTTATTATTCTTTGACAATTTCAGACATGTAAACATAGG